GTGAAATCCCAACATGCACTTCTACTTTTAGTCAACTGTGAATTGTTTTTACTGTAATAAAAATAAAAGCGGGTAAATTTACTATAGTTAAAATACAAGTTTGATTAACAAATTTTTAATGCAAGTGTAGTTAAACAATTTACTGGGGTTAAAAAGTTTATTGTGATTAAAATATAAGTTGTAGGATAAACAGCTAAATCTAAATGATCTGGGCTATTGTTGTCCTTTATGGTAAAGACACTTTTGTTTTATTAAGTAGTTATTTGGGTATATGCGGTTATCTAACATCAATTTGGTGTAAGAAAAGAATATCCTAACCCCCTTCGGATAACTCTACATGTCCCATATAGCATATATATCTCATTCTAGTAATTCCAATTTCCAACAGCATGGCACTAAACAAAGATATTATTAAATACAAAATAAATCAGAATTTGGGAATATATTTGACCGTGCCTCCTGAGTTTTTTATTTTTTGGGTATATACATCCTGAGTTTAAATACAAATAGTAAAACATCTCTCTCACGAGTAAAGTAAATGTAAAGCCCTTATTTCTTCTGCCTCATTGAACAACTGGGGCGAAGGAGAGGGGCAGTCCAACATCTCCACAGCTAACTTGGGGAACACCCAAAAACACCTACTCCTACTTTGTGTCTTATGATTCATTACAAAGAGAGGAACCACTAAAATTGTTGAAGGGTAGAATGACAAGTCATAAAATAAGACCAATTACTGATAAATGTACTCACGATTGGTCCATTCTTTAAAGCGTGTTCCTTTGCAAATTTGCATGCTTGTTTCACAGCAAGGGCATCCATACCATCCACCTGTTTCAAAGTAAAATGTATGACCACATATACCGAATAAAGAAACACATAATGACATAGAAATAGAATCACATAAGTAACTTAGGATTGTGTACTCATCCTATCAAGCCTTAATGTTCAATTACACATGGGATGGTCATGATAAATTTCTTTCTTCCGCTGACAATAATTTGGAGCTGCGAATAAAAAAAATATACAATTGCACCAGTCATCTAATACATCTTAATCTCAAGAATTGAGTATAAAATCACTGTATAACTAAGGACCAGCAAACATAAACTGTCAAAACCACTTGCAGCCACACAACACAGCTCTAAGTTATATAGGAAGTCGAGCTAAGTATAAATTCAGGAAAAGATCTTCAAAACTCGCCCTGTAAAACGGAAGAGGATGAAAATATCTAAGAGATAGAAAATGCCATAGAAAAGCATTTAGAGATAAAAACATATTTTGGAAATCTAAGTAACGGTAAGTCATACAAATCAAACTTTATGCCCTCCAATGAAATAACACCAAAAGTAAACAAAGTAATCCATATTACATCAAGAAGTTAAAAACTGAAGGACCGGAGAAAGCTCCATTACTTATATTACAACCATTTATGAAGAAGAAAGACTAATACATCCAAGCCAAGTAACACCCACTACTTCACATTCTAAATTAGCACACAATCATAAACTTCCACAGCCAATATCTTTAAGCAAATATTCACATTCTCACACACACCAAACCTTGATTTCAGCAAGATAAAACAGCACAAGTACTCAACCTCCTCAAGCAATCACATACACAAAATCAGACCACAACAAATGCTATTCAATATCACCTTCAAACCAGGAACATAGTCTCCTCTCTTATAATAGGCTGGACTCTTTGCTGCCCTCCACTCAGCCGTCCCCATCCCATCTGCAACAACAATCCAAAATCAATCAAATCACATCATCTTCCCCAATTACATACGTATAGACAGTGAAATGCAGCAACATTACAAAAACATTCATATAAAATCATTTCTTAACCACCTAAACAAACATACAAATACAACAATCCATAATCTATCAAATCACATTCTCTTTTAGTGGCACTTACAGTGATTGTTCTCGCAAACTAAGATCGCAGGAAGATCCCAAAGAGCAGCCATATTCAAGGCCTCGAACAGCTGCCCCTGATTCGCCGCTCCATCTCCATAAAGCGCAAACGACACATTATCCTCCTTACTATACTTCTGCGCAAAAGCTAGCCCACAACCTAATGGCACTTGAGCTCCCACAATCCCATGCCCTCCATAAAAACCATTCTCCTTCTTATAGAAATGCATCGAACCACCCTTTCCCTTTGAACATCCATCCTTACGCCCCATTAGCTCTGCAAATGTTTCCAATAAGGTTCCACCACGGCCAAGGTATAAGCAATGGTCGCGATACGCGGTGATGATGTTGTCCTTTCTGGTAATTGCAGCCTCCATGCCGACGGCGACGGCCTCTTGCCGTCGTACAGGTGGCAAAAACCGCGTATCAGTTTGGCTTTGTAGAGTGAGTCGGCTGCGATTTCCATTCGCCGCATTTGCGACATGTCAGTGAAGAAGGTCATGAGTTCGGAGGACGAGGTTGTGACGGAGCGGGACGGCGGGTCGATTTTGTGGCCGGTGAAGGGGACGCTGGTCTCGATGGTGATGGACGAATCGGAAGAGGTGGAGAAGAGGCGAGTGGTGGGGTTGATTGTGGTAAGGGATTTCAGGAGATTGGAGCTCCTGCGAGTCAAAGCCATCTCCGTCGTTGGATTGCTTGACCGGTGAGATCTGTGTAACTGTGTAAACGGAAAGGTTTTGGTGAGATAGGGGAGGCACCGACGACTAGTATCGGAGAAAGGAGTGAGTAGTTGAATAGAAAATTAAATAATAATATTCTAATATTTAATTAAAAACAAAAAATATCACCTTTTTTTTAATACATAAAATATCACTGTAAGATTGATTCTTTTAAAATGGTCAAACATGGGATTAACTCAACTCGAAAGAGGACTGAAATGGTAATTATAATGAATTGCAAATTCAATCATTTTAAATTTAAATTTTACTATTTTTTAGATTTAAGAAAGATTTTTTGCGTGAACTGTAGGTGAAAAAAAACAAGAGATTAGCTTCGGCTTAGTGGTGCAATCAAACGGGTCACTAGGGGTCCGTTTAGAAGTATGGATTGAAAAATAAGAGAATCATATTTTCTAACTTAATTTTTTTTAAAATTATTAATTTATACCCTCGAATATTAAATTTTTTAAAAAATAATGTCATAAAAATAATTACAATTTGGATATGGCACTAACTTTTGTTACTATTTTTTTTAAATTCTGTGACGTACGCCACACATTGATTTGACATAGATAATAATGAATGTTATTTGGGATATTTAATAGGGTAAATTATACTCACTCTTCTTAACATTTGACCAAATAACAGGAGGCCCCCAATATTTTTAAAATTATATGACAACCCTTTGAGATTTAAAAATCATGACACAAGCACCCCTCTTGTCTTCCCGCCATTAGTTTGACTAACAGAAAACAGTGATATCATGGAACAAAATATATCTAATTTCAAAATTATCCCTTTATGTCCAACATTTTTTAAGATAATATTGTTCACTAATTATCATAATTTATCATTTTACCAACATTATTTTATGCAATTATAAAAATTAATCAAAGATTAACATTAAACTATTACATTTTGATTAAAATTAATAAAAAATTACCATCAACTAGGATAATTAGTTCAAACTGAGAGTGGTGATTTAAAAATGATAATGGCAGTGGTAGTGGGGGGGGGGGGTTGGGAAGATTGAGTTTGGAGTGATGATGGTGATGGGCGAAGGGTGACAGTTAGGGGTGGGTGCAATAGGGTTTGTTGTAGGAAGAGATCAGAGGGGGGGATTTGAGAGGAAGAGAGAAGAAAAGTTGACAAATAAATAAAAAGGAGTTAGGAGTATGGATTTAGAGTGGTGGTGGCAGTTGAGGGTGGGGCAATGGGGTTTGTTATAAGGAAGGGGGCGGGGGGAGCTGGGAGATCTGAGAAGGAGAAAAAAAAGAGATGTGGAGAGATAAAATAAAAAGGGGGGGGGGGTTGGGAGTGATAAGTTTGGAATAGTGTTAGTGGTGGCAGTTGGATTGGGTGTGACGAGGTTTGTTGTAGGTTGGTATAGAGAGAGAGAAGGAGAATGAGTGGTGGCAATGGTCATAGTGTAAGGGATGAGTGAGACGTCAATCGGTGGTGTAAAGGCTATGATGGAGTTTGTTGCAAGTTAATTTAATTTTTGATAATATATTTAATTTTATTACTTATTATGTATTATTTAATTTTATTTTAAAATAAATTAAAGGATTAAAATAATCATTTATCACTTGTGTTAACGCGAGTCACTGACGCCAATAATGGGTCTCCGTGTTATTGTAGAAATGTCAAAGGGTCTCTATTTTATTTAGTCAAATGTCAGGGATTGTGAGTATAATTTATCCTATTTAATATGTAGTGTGGAAAAAAAAATGAATTTTTACGAGTGCAAATTAAATTTGTTAATATCATTCAAGAAGCAAAATGTGTTTCGCCCTTAACACTTAAATATAAAGTAAAACAATTAGTAAAATAAACAAAAAGTAGTATATCACAATATTTTTGTGAGGTTAATAGTACTATGATCAAATTTTAAATTGAATTTAGTGGCCCTAAATAAATGATGATACTAAACATAATAAACAAAAGAATTAAAAAAATAATAATAATTAGTATGTGAATGTGCCATATCATGTAGACTGTAAAATTTTAATTTCAAAATTTAGTCTTATATTCTGTTTCTTATTTTCCACCTAAGGGTGGTCAAGGATGATGGAATTTGCTTAATTTGATAAAACTTAATTTGATATGTATCGCTTTATTTGTTGAATGTGATTTGATGGATTGACCCGGACCCGTTAAGCTAAAACCACGCCCGAAATATCCGTGGTATATGTGCATTGTTATCTTTAACTCGTAACAACTCTTCTAAATCTCTCCCGCCATGAGCTCCTCTCTCTCACACATTCCCACAGCCTATTCTCTCCAACCCTCCGCACGCAAAGCTTTTCCATTTCTTCAACCCCTAGGGTTTTGCTGCCTCAAAAATCTCGGCGCATCGACTTCA